TCACTGCATACGCGCATTCCGCAACAATAAATTAATGAAAGTGAGGAGATGAAGATGAGTTGCAGTCAAAATATGAAATAAGAAAGAGTTTTTCATAGAAAATTTGAAAGCAAGGTGATTTCCCCGCTTGATCCCCTCTTGTGCATAAAAGGGTTCACTTCCCCTCCCCACAGGGGATCCCTTGTCCGATATTGTCTTTGTGCATACGGGGGTTCGCGCGGGGAGGGGAGGGGATCCCCAGCGGGGATCATTTCAATGGTTAAGCGCACATCCCCTCCCCGCGGGGATGTACGTGCATACGGGCCTTAGTCTACATCTGTCGTCTGTTCTTCTCATAATGTGACCGGCCCATCGATGCTTCGCTTTCGCAACGTAATCCGCTGGGTCACGAAGACGGGACATTCTCCTCATATCCGTACTGCGAAGTCCGACGAGATGTTGTTTGTGTCGGGTCATCTTCAGAAGACTACGCTCTAGCGCTCTGTGGGTGGTCCTTAAAGCTTTCGACGTGGCTGTAGTGTCGGCCCAAGTCTCAGCTGCGTAACAGAGCGCCGGGAGAACGGTTGAGTCGAACAGGTGGGCACGAAGCTCCGGGTCCGTCAGTTGGTCGGTGGCTTCCTTCAGAGGCCCGAAGGCGGCCCAGGCTGCTCTTCTTCTCCTGTTAAGTTCTTCCCTCAAGTCGTCCTCCATGTTCATCGAACGTCCGAGATACACGTAAGAAGACGTCTCCATAATAGGAGGTACCTTCCAGTTTCAATTCTGCATCTTCGCAAAGGGCGTTCTTCATGAACTGAGTCTTCTTTCGATTTATTCGCAATCCGATCTTCTTCCCTACTTCGTTCAGTTCCTTCAGCATCGTCTCTGCTTCAGTGATACTGCTCGAGAAGAAAACGATGTCGTCCGCAAAACGAAAGTTAGAAAGGAATCTCCCATCAACTCGTATGCCTCTCTCATCCCAGTCCAGTGACTTCATCACCCACTGCAAGGCCGCGGTGAACAGCTTCGGCAAAATAGTGTCGCCTTGTCGGACCCCCTTCCCGATCAGAATGGTCAGAGGGCGATGGAATAGCTGCATCGTCGTTGTACAGTCCTTGTAGCAGTCGGCTAGTGTCCTCACGTAGGGTGGGCCTACTCCTTGATCGACTAGTGCTGGCAGAATGGCATTCGTTTCGACGCTGTCGAGGGCTTTCTCATAGTCGACGAAGGTTAGGAGAGAGGCAGTCGGTATTCCGGTATTCCCGGCACAGACCGTCTGGATGTGGTCCATGCAGCTGAACCCCTTGCGGAATTCAGCTTGTTTTCGGGGTTGGGCTTCATCCAGTGTCCTAGATATCGAGCGAGGATAATCTTCGTGAAAAGCTTGTACAGCACACTCAGCAGGCATATTGTACGGTAGTTCCGAAGATCCTCCCGTTCGCCCTTCTTGAAGAAAAGGACGGTTCTTGATGTTCTCCACTTTCGGGAATCTTCTCCTTCTGGAGGTAAGATGTCAAATGCGACGCTAGAACCTCGTGTAGACGTTGTCCTCCGGCCCGCAAGAATTCGAAGGAAAGATGGTCTGGTTTTGGAGCCGTGGACGTCTTCATGGTCTGAATCGCGATACGCACTTCAGCAGGTAGAATTCGTGGTCTTATTTCTCCAGTGGGAATAACGGGCATCTGCACGGGAGTTGATGAGCGGAAGAGGTTGGTGTAAAAGTTCTTCGCGATAGATCCCATTTTGTATCGGGAAGAAGTCGGAGTCCCGTCTTCGTTCAATAGTGCAGCCAGCGGTACGTGATTTTCGCAGAGCTCCTTCGACACTTCTTGAGACTTCCTCTTCCTTCGGCTGCTTCCAGTATCTTGGCTCGCTTGTACTTCCTGAGATCCTCCTGCAAAGCTGTTCTGCAACCGGCGTTGGCTATCAGTCGCTCAGATGAGTTGCGTTCGGATCCTGCCTCAGAAATCTTCTTCTTTCAGTTCCTTGGTGGTCTTCGAAATGCGTTCCAAGTTCTTCTCAGAAGTCTCTGAGGCGCACTCTCCGCATGCTCGCAGTCCTTTCAAAAGCCGGCCATAGTCGTACGTTGGGTCCTCCTGGATGGGTCAGTTACAACTTGATATGAGCTCCTCTAACCTGTTACCATCATGAACGACTTCTTTCCTTCTTGCGGCGCTGTGGCAAACTTTCTTTTCCAGCTTTCGACTGAATCGTACCTTCGCTCGAAGGAGACGGTGATTGGAGCCAGCGGAAGGATGGAACTACTAAGACATCGAGCAAGCTCCACCTTCGGTTGGTGAGAATGTGGTCGATCTCCGTATGAGTCGTTTCGTTGGGCGATTCTCAAGTCCACCGGCGATGTTCTATCTTGGTGAAAATGGAATTTCCATGGAAAAGTCGTACGGCGGAGAGAAGCCCAACAAGACGGTTGCCGTTTTCGTTCTGAAGCCCATATCCAAACTTCCCGATCCTATATTTCTCTTCTAGTGGCATCCCGTTCTTCGCGTTGAAGTCGCCCACAACGAACTTATAGAAGGATTTCTCGTTGCGGACGACCTGCTCCACGTCTTCGTAGAAAGCATCTAGTTCTGAGTCGTCAGCTGCTGATGTTGGTGAGTAGCAGTTGATGATGCTGATGGTTTTCTGACGTGGAGGCTGTAGTCGTAGGATGGCTAGTCGAGGTGACAGGATCTCATGCGAATCGACAAGATGGACGATTGATGGGTGATGCAAAGCCAACGCCTCCAACGTTTCGTGATGGAACCTTTTCAACACGGATGACGAGGGTCATCTCTCGCACGTCCTTCTTCCTGGACTTCGTTTCCTGCAGAGCGATGATGTGGTACTTGATGTACTTTGCAGCGTCGAGAAGAGCGTGGAGGTCGGCGTTTGTGGAGACTGTCCTGACATTGTAGGTGTAGAGCATGAGGCTGTCTCCATGGCGTGTCGTCAGAGCAGATTTGTCGTTTTTGTATAATCCGAAAGGCGCCCTGAGTGCCCTGACATCGTTCTCGTTACCACCCAGCGCCGTAGGCGGGATCCGATGTGCAGAGTTTATTTCTCTTCTCTTTGCTGATCGAGTAATAAAATGTTTCCCCTACAAGAGCAGATTTACTAGGCCAACTCTTGATTTCCACGAGGACCTGACGCTGGCCTTGGATGTGGAGCGGGGAGGGACCGCCTAGCGACCAGAAGAAGCCAGACGGCAGGGGATTTGGCGTGGCCGGCTCTTAGCTAGGAATCCGGCCGAAACCGGAAACGTCGAACTCCTTCACAGCTTGGTAGGCCCTACCAGAGTATACACTCGGCTGTGCATCGCAATTCGACACCCACTGTCACCCCCACGCCACGTTGAGGCGGCCGACCATTGTGGGGGTGCTAAGAAATGAAAACTTCAAACTCACTGAATTAGAAAATGGAGAATTTTTGGATGAAATTGTCGCGGCTCGCCATGCAAGCCACTCCTCGGAGCAGTAGGCCGGGAGCGCTGGCTATCGCGTTAGTTAGCGCGCTATCAATTTCGCGCCAAGGCCTCTTCTGCTGGGCGGGTTGCTAAGTCAAAGGGTATACAAGGGCGCGTAGGCTGCGGTCTGCGCCTTTTCAAGTTCCGTTCGCATTGATCGTTTTATGACATCGTTCGTGCTGGCAGCGCCTTCAGCAGCTCCCGCAGATGATAATCGGTTTCGGGTTGAGTAGTCATCCTCTTGGTTTTGGAGACGCGCAGCTAAGCGTCATGGTTCGTCTTGCGTAGGAAGTATACCAGCGGGAGTGGAGAGGGGTCACACCGTCCCGGAAGGGCTAGGGGCTTGCCGTTGACCCAGTGGAAAACCCGGAACTACTTGTTGGAGTTGTTCACCATCAGCATCGGCAGCACGGGACGAGGCGGCTTAGTGTTAGCAGTTTATTGTTGTGTATATTTGTAGATAAATGTAATCTGCACTAGTCGGCCCTCTCTTTTCTCAGCGTTACTCGCTATTTATTGTGCTGTTTATACTGGTAGGGGTAGTCGTCGGCAGCGGGCATTAAGGCGTCATGAACCTTAACGGACACGCGACATCATAGGGGACAACGGGAGTTAGGTGTAGACGCGGCGAACATTTGAGGGAGGTGCTGGTCACACCGAGTCGCCACACAGGGTTAGCATTTCACATTTTTTTAGGAATCCTTTTTTACATGTATCGTCCTAAAATCGCTACTCAAAATTAATAAAGCCAGTAATAGCTGCACAGCAGCCACATATGAGCTCTTTAGGTCTAATTATGTGCAATCCTGCAGAAACAGGCCCATTCTTGAGTTAACCATGTACTTGGGAGACGAATGTTTATGGGCTAGAAGATAGGCTGAACATTGTAGCAAAACTTGCACCTCACAAACATTAAAGTTATAACAGTTTGAGAAGAATTTCCCAAAACTTCGAGAAAATTTTTAATTTTTAAAAAATGGCCAGTACTCCGCTTACGAATGCTACATTCAATAACGACATTTGTTCCTCCCAAATACGAATTTATATTTGAAGCAGTAGGGGAAGGAGAAGTTTTGGAAACCCCACCCCTAGCCCTCTTTGACCAGAGCAATTTTTCTATAAGTTCTAAGGTGATGGTCATTGATGACCAATATGATAATCTAAATAAATTTTTTGAGAATTTACGAGAGTTTCATTTCGCCAATAAAGTTTTTCGTGCTTGCTTACGACAAATAAATCAAATCTTTTTAGAAAAAGCTTCTGCTCTTATTAGCAGGGTTCTTTGATATCGAAAAGTGGACAATCTGCGCCAATTATTACTAATTCTACTACTTCAGCGAAATACTGGCTGAATTGCGAGCATCGCCATCAACTCATTCGTTACAAACTCAGTGCAGCTTTCAATAAAAATTTTTAATCTCCTAACAACAAGTCGCTTCAATCCATCTTCTGCAATGTATCCATGTCTCTCAAAAGAGAATCAATCAGTGATAAAAGCTATGCTGTCGCTCTTCCCTCACGTGACAGTATAAGTAAATCCAAAAACTAATCAGAACTTTTTAGAGCACACTCATATTGCTGAAAACAAATATGAAATTCTTGTTTTTCTTTTTCCTCCTGGGAGCTTGTTTCTTAGCGCTAACGAACGGAAGCGATCCTGTGTAAGCAGAAATTACGTTATCCTAATCCGCAACAAAAATGTTTTCAGCTGGACCGTTACCTGTTGCAACAAATGCCATCCAAGAAGCAAATATTTGGGCTTTCTCAGCCGCACGAGCGGCGAGTCCATTATCTTATTGATGCTAAAGTGCAAAAATTACACAAGGATATGCCGAGAGGTTCTTTGAAAACCCAGACGTTTGCATTGGAAAAACACAACTGCTAGATGGATGAAACAACAAGCATTCTTCTCCTCATTGCCTGTTTCTTCTTGCGATAAGATGAAATAAAGCATTGCGAAGCATGTTTGCAGGGAAATTCAGCGTTAGATACTTTGCTAAGACAGCGTGGCAGTACCTAACAAGGAGAAAACCCAAACTTGAAGCTAAGACAGCGTGGTAGTATCGTGGTAAACTTCGAAGAGGGTTTTGAGCCATGAAAGGCCATATTTTGCCTCACAATGGAAATAAGACAGCCTGAAAACTTTTACACTAGGTTAGTTGGTGTTGCTGATTCTAAATGTAAAGTTTCCAACTTATTATGAAGCTTCATTGAAAAGTTATGCCGGCCAAGAGGTATTGGCCATTTTTTTCAGTGTTCCTAAAAAGTGCGTTTACACCGTTTAGAAAGCTTCGCAATCTTGTGTATAGTGGAGTATTGAACTCAGCGTCCATAAAAAGCCTATTACACAAGTTTTCACATTTTTTTGAAAAATTTTGAGACGGCAGCTTTTTTCACATTGACACCATATGTCTCAAGTTTCTACCGTAATCCTACAGTAATGAAGAGAGATGGGTGATTCGTTTTATAATGCAAATCTAAGTTGAAGCCAGCTCTACAAAACGGTACCTGAAGCAAGGCAAAAGACTTCTTGGGAAGAAAGATATTAACGATCAAACAGTGTATACATACTTTACGGACACTATACTTTGGACCGAATCGAATAAATATTCGAGTATTCGAATAAAGTATTCGAATAAAATTTATTCGAAATTCGATTATTCGAAAAATTTAAAATCTCGAATATATTCGATATTCGCTTATTCGAAAATTGTCATTTCCGAATTTATTCGGTTATTCGGTTATTCGAAAATTTTGGTTTTCGAATATATTCGAACATTCGAATATTTAATTTCGGAAGTTATTCGATTATTAGACATTTTCATGTAATCGAATAACTATATGCTCTATTTGCTGGTGTCCTCTTGTGTCTTTCCCCCTTCCAATTGTGTTTTCTCGCATTTACTCGCCATTCCTAAGTCGGTCTCGCCACGACCACCCTGTTTCCGCGTGAATGACTGTAGGTTGAATGTGATTGCGTAATCTGCGCTGTTGCCAACTCGCTATGTCTGTGATTTGCTGGACTTCTCCACGTTTTCGACCGTTTGCAGGTTTTCTCTCTATTTTCATTTTGTTCTTAGTCCTCTATCCCTCTTCCTCTGACAGCAGGAGTTTTGAAGAGCGGGTTGGAGGAAGAACGCAATATGCGGCCATTCCGTGCGATCGGTTTGACGGTAGTTTGTGAGCCAATCCATTCTGTGATCATTATTTTCGCCCACAAATCAAATGTTCCCTATATTCTCTGCGCATTTTCACAACCCCAGTCCTTCGGAAGGCATGATGACACTTGTCAAGAAGCGGAGATTGAGATTGTTTACTGAGGAGTTCTGTTTTAAGGGCGTTTTCAGCTTTTTTCCTTTCTCCACTAAAGCGTAGCCGTTCTTTCTCCAACCCGCTCTTACCCTTTTGTTGATAAGAGCTTTGAACATGGAGCGGGTTGAAGAATGAACCCTTTTTGCTTCATATACCACTCGGAAAATGTCGAGTCGTTGTTTGTACGGACCGGCCGTAAATTACGTAACACGCGCCCGCGGCCAATCGCTTGTATTGATACAAGTCGCTATTGCACATATTGTGCTCTCATGACATCACAGCCGCGGCGCGCGTTGTCTGCGGCCAGTCCGTGCGGTCGGTCATTTCGAGAACACTTTTGATGCTGTCCAATTTGAGCGCGATATTTTACCAGACCATCTTATTTTCTCCTCATTCTCAAACACCTTCGTGTAGTTGCAGGATTTAAGGACATTGTAGGATCTATACTTAACAACCTTCCGCTCTTGAAGCTATGTTTTTTAGTCTCTGCTATGGTCGGGAAAGAAAAAAAGAAAAACGTCTAGAAAAGAACAACATTGTTTGGACTCGACTTCGAAGCTAAAGTTCGTGCACAAGTTTGAGTGGGCATGCTGCTGAGAAATTGGGTGTTGGAAAAAGATAGTACTAACTACACCAACAATCGCGCTCTTAATTTTGATGTTTTTGCAGCCATCGAAACTAGGTGTTGAAAGTAGGTGTGAATGGGCCCCTTGTCTTTAATGGTTTGCACACTTAAGAGTGGAGGCAGAAGACCGCTGTTCACAGTGGATTAGATTGTTGACGTCTATAGTCTTATGAGGAAGTAGACCGAGCAGACCCGGATCTGTCAACAGTTCAGAAATATGCATTACATTTTGAATATATCAGCTTGCTTGTTTTGAGTTGTATACTACTGGGAGTCTTTTTTTGTACTATTCGACTAGATTTGCTTGAATATTCGACATAGTTTATACAAAGTATTCGTTTATTCGAGACTTTTTTTCGAATATATTCGAATATTCGAAATTTTTCCATTCCGAATTTATTCGATATTCGATTATTCGACATTTTTTCATCTCGAAAATATTCGATATTCGTTTATTCGACATTTTTGATTTTGAAAAATATTTGATATTCGAATATTCGACATTTTTTATTTTCGAAAATATTCGAAATTCGTTTATTCGATATTTCTGATTTTCGAATATATTCGATTATTCGATTATTCGAGAAAAATTTCGAATATTCCAAAGTATAACGGACACCCTGCATGTCTCAACTGGATTGGTGCTTTCGACTGTGTATCCTCTCCTTGTAAGTGCCTTCATTCTGCAACAAAATCAGCCGCTTGTCAGCAGCTATGTCTCATATCAGTTCAATTAAAAAATTCTGTTGCGATTTAATGGAAAACACATTGACTAAAATTGTTAAAAAGAAAATTATTTTAATCATGAAAGTTTTCTTATTCTTTGCGGTTGTGTAAACTAACGTTCTTCTAATTGAAAATATCTTAAATCAACACCTCGTATCGTGGCTGTTACTGTCCAGAGTTCTATCTATTTTAGCTTTTTTGAAAAAGTTGAGAGAAACAGCGCGGCTTTTCCTCCCACTGGTTGTTCCATTATGACCATAAAAGCTTATTTTTTGAAAAATTGAAACGGCACTCGTGGCAGCAATCGCCCTCATAAGACCTAAGAGACAGAAAGGAGTTGCATAAAAAACCGATTGATCAGGTGTTGATTTTTGACTTTTAAGAAATTAGATGCGTTGAAGAAGTAGAAAGGAAATAGATGCTTGCTTCGATCGGCTTCATCTGCATATTTCGGCATTTTTGTGCACTAGCGCGCATCTAATCACTCATAAGTTCACTGTAAACAGTAATACCCACAAATTTTTCCACACATCTTCACTGCCCCTCATTGTCTGCTGCCTCAACGTGGCGAGGAGGTGCGGCTGGATGTAGTAAGATGGCTTAAACCATAAAAGCGAAAATGTGGAAAAATTTCTCTGATCCCCCCCCCCCCGTCATTTGGGCTGGCTGGTCCCTTCTGGCTGGAATCAAGGCATCACTGCAGAATCAAATTGTTGTTAAGACATCAGATTGTGCGTAAAGGAAACGCCAGGTGCTTTTCTCCTTTGAAATCAAGACTGCAAGAGAGCATCGATGCAACAGCGTTTTGTTGAAAAAACTCATGTATGAGACCTCTCGCATACTCAAAGGGCGTTGATAACGAAACATAATCAAAAATTCAAAGGTTGTCTGATTTTTTTTGAAAAATTGAAATTTTATCAATAAATATACATTGTCGCAGGAGAGAGTTGAGCAAGAATAGAAAATATGGACTGGCTATTGACAGGTGCATGATCCACAAGAATCGTACCATATCTCCTCTCACTAGAGATAATAACAACAAATAAAGGAGCATTTAGATTGTAAGTTTCTCAAGCTTCAAATCATATAACTCCAAAAAGACCTTCTTGATTTCAAAAATGAAGCATGAAATAGTTACCCAAAGTCGACTGATACTGTAGCTAGATAAAACTGCTCATTATTTACAAAGTCTAAGCACCGAGAAAATCTTCGTGTTACACCTCTGTACCACTTATTTTCCTTCTTTTCACTCCCACTCCCTTTAGGCATGTAAGCTTGCGCCAGCATTCATCAAAAGACTCAGTTACTCCTTCACTTTTCTAGGTCGGAAATAGCCAAAACCCCCTTTACCTGGAGGGGACGCTACTTCCCCTATCGCACCTATGCTCCAAACTATATTTAAACCAGACCAAAATGCCGCTTCGCGGCACTTTGGTCTGTACGTGTGTAGAATGGGACATAAATTTTTAAAAGTATTGCCACCAAAAAACGGTTTTATGATCCGCAAATATTTTCTCTGAATAACGGTAGATAGGTGAAGTTATCTAAGTTCCACATGCTTGATGCTCATGAGTTACAAACACAACACAGCTTACCCTTTGTCGAAGGCACACGTCGACAATATATAGCCGTCCTGAAGAACGACAATGTAAAATTTTCTCCGAAGTCATAAAAGAGTCTTTGATTTAGGGCCGCATGCACTAATATGGCCGCGAAGTGGGGATCGCAGCTTAAAAGAAAGCTTTATATTTCGAAACTCTAGGTAACTGGATTTCACGTTGTGTACCCTATCCGTTAGTACTCCTACTATCCTTCACTATGAACATGTTGAACAGGAGCGAGAAGCTGTACAAACCACATTTGCAGCTTTTGTATGATCCCTGATGATCCCCGGTGCTTTTCTCTGAAGTCATTTTTTTCCGAAGTTAACGAAAAACTTCTAAAGCTGTGCAGATTATCTAACCCAACAGTGCTAAGCATGTTGTTGATAAGAACAAATGATGTTTTGAAGTCATGAAATTTTCGATGATCCACAGGTCGAAATTTGAGGTTTACCGAAAAATTCGACTTGTCAAAAACTCATTTGTTCTCACATCAGCAACATGCTTAGCACTGTTGTGCTAGATGTTCAGTACAGCTTTGGAAAGTTTTCGTTAACGTCGGAGAAAGAAAAAGTCTTCAAAGAAAAGCGCCGGGGATCATCAGGGATCATACAAAAGCTGGAAAATGCGGTGTTTGTACAGCTTCTCGCTCCTGTTCAACATGTTCATAGTGAAGGATAGTAGGAATACTTACGGACA